CATAAAAATTCACAGCATCTTTGAATAATTCAGGGTAGAAAATCAAAAAACAAAGTGTTTCCCTTAATTGGTGAGTTCTCTGTGACTTTTCTCCCCAGCGTGGCTAATTTGAGAGTTGAGGCTTTTATGGCTTCAGGTTATTTTAGGAGATCACAGAAAAAACCTTTTCCTCTGGAGTTCTCTATCCTTTCACCCCACAGACTCAGCCTCTCCCCATCCTGGGAACATGGCAGAATAGACTCTTTCAGATGCACCCCCCCCCCATTTCTTCCCTCAGTTACACCTATAATTCCAGCACAGGAGGCTGAGGCAGGAGGGTTGTGAGTTCAAGTCCCACCTGGGCAGCTTAGTGAGACTCTATTGCAAAGTAAAATATAAAAAGGGCTGGGAATGTAGCTCAGTAGTAGAGCATCCCTGGGTTCAATTCCTAGTACATCTCCCCTAAAACTGACACAAAACAGCTTACTCATTTGCTCTCTTTCCATACATATGCACAAAGAAAAGATCATGTGAGCACCTAGAGATGACAATCACATATAAATCAAGAGGAGAGGCCTCAGAGTGACACCTACTTTACTGGCACATATACTGGGGACCCCTGAAACATTACTATAAACCTCTGCAGTAGGCTTCAGTCTCCTGCCCTGTATGATGCAGGCCTGAGAAATCAAACTAAAAGACTAAGAGAGGCCAATGCTGGTGCAATAAACAAAGGTGCTGGCCAGTCCAAGCCTTTGCTTTTTTTTTTTTTTTTTTTTGGTACCAGGGATCGAACTCAGATCCTTGTGTTTTCACAGCAGGCGACGAAACCACTGAGCTAAATCCCTGCCCCCCAAGTCTTTGATATTTTTTTTAAGGCTTTGATTTATATTGGTAATGGATTGGGGTAAAGGCAAACCATGTGCAAGACTGCATAGTTGTGTGGTTTTTATGGAAATTAATGTAAGCAAGGCTAGTAAAAGACAAGACAGCATAATCGAATTAGGAATAGAATAGAAAAAATATAGCATTGTAATTAGAACATTGTCCTTCTAGTAAGAAGGTTTTAATTGTGGGAATGGAAGTCAGATGGAAGTTACTCTGACCTCAGCATATAGGCTTTGTTTCTCAAAAACAGACTCTTTTCCCAAAACAAGCCAATTGTGGGGTTAACTTTACACAGCTTGCACTGCTTACAGCCTGCTTTGGGCGTAATCAATATTACAGTCTCCCACACACATAAATCTTGGACTTCCCAAGCTCCAGAACTGTAAAGAAATAAATTCACAATGATCATGTATTGAGCTTTTTTCACAGGTCATACATGATCATTGTAAATATTTGTTATTATTGTTAAATTTTCACAAAACTCTTAGCACTATTATCATTTGCACTTTACTGTACTAAATGGAAGAACTACTCTTTCACCAAAATCAGTCCTTCAAATAATCATCTTTAGGAAATTTGTCATATCCTTATGACCCTGGACATATTTTCTTTTAAATGGACTCACTGTCTCTTTTATA